GAGGAAAGAAGGAAAAAAAACACTTAAAAAACTGAGTTTCTATTATGTCTACTTTTTCATTTCATTTTCATAGTAAATCACTTGTATAGTATTCTACAGAAACCTAAGTCCACAATGCATGGGAGGGGGGCGGGGCGCGCCTCTAGCAGTGGCGCAGAGCACGTAGGGCTCCTTGCTGTCCACGTGTCCAGTTTCCTTCCCCCTTGACACTGTGTAAGGCTGCATGTGGGAATTCGCTCTTCAAGTGTGTTCAGCTGGGCTTTCAGGTTTGTGCTAGGAGCGTTGGCCGGGATGACACATTCCTGTGGAGCTCCAGGGAAGTCTGCAGTCCTCTTTTTCCCTGCACGTCCCAACAGGCTGCGTGTCCAGGGAATCTGCGGGCCTCTCGAGATCAGCTCCACTGCCCCTCCCGCCCGGTCTTTGCGGTGACCCCCGTGACCCCACAGCTGTAGCTGCACGGTGCTGAGGAAACGTGGAGGGAGCCTGCTTCCCTTTGGCGCCCCTTGGAAGTGGCTGGCTAGAGGGGTCTTGGATTGTCTGAAATGCTGTGAAGGAGTGCCTAAAGATCCAGTCTCTTTCCAGAAATTGCTCCATGGAAGCTGTCCTACTGCACGGGAGACATTCTTGATTGTCCTTGACAGTCTAACGACCTTAATGTTTTCCTCTTGGTAACTCGTCTGGTGTTCTTTTCTCAGGTGATGGCAGTGGGCACAGGATGGTTCTCTCCCAGGGGCGGGTTGGCGTGGGAATTCAGGGCACTGCCACCACCCTTTGGAGCCCGAGCACAGAGCCCAGACCTAAGTTTCATTTCTGGGGGTTTTATACAGCCTTACTGAGGTGTGATTGACAGTAAACGTCACATATTCGAAGTGCACGGTTTGATGAGTTGTAGCACGCATGGCTCCCTGCAGAGTCAAGGTAAGGAGCGCCTCTGTTGCCCCTAAGAGTTGCCTCGTGCCCCCGTGCAGGCGCTTCCTCCGGCTCTCCCTCCAACAGGCACCGCGCTGTTTCAAAGTGCGAGACAAACAGCAGCTGCTCGACCCGCTCGGCAAGGCCGCTATATAACCGCGGCTCCAGAACGAGGCAAGGAGGTTCGAGGACAATCATGGACCAGTTTTACTTTTGGACCTAGGTGTGAAAATCTTCAGTAAAATGCTAGTTAATTGAATCCATCTGTTAGGGAAAAAATATGACCCATTACAACTGCATCCCATGAACACCCCTTTTTATTCTCCAATGTGTTGTATTTTTCACTAAATCTTGGTTCATTTTTCCAGTTTTTCTTCCACTTTCCCTACCATTTTAACGTTAGTTGATGTTCTCATTTGTCCTGACATTACAAAGCAGGTTGGCTGCTTTCTCCTAAGCTGCTGTGGGGGAAATGGGTCCTAGGTGAATACAGGATGCTAGGAAGTGGCAGTCACCCACATTTCAAAATGAAAGGATCAGAAAAATAAAAGACAATTACAATTTTCTTCATTTTCTTAGGCCCTTCTAGTGTTTGTCCATCCCTCTAGTGGGGCCCAAGAAATCCCCCTAGAGGGCCGGGTTTAGCTTCACTTTGTGTCAGAGCTTCCGAAAACAAGAGAGCGGCTTGACGTGGAGGGCAGGTCTCCTGTGATGAGGCGGTCCTTTTCTGTGTGATGCGCCTCTGCAGCCGTCTCTGACACGACGACGGGTGGTATTCAGGAACAGTGCGTGCCTGAATGTTGACATCTACTTCCCCAGTGCTAACTTCACACCTCACTGGATGTTAAGGTGAAAAGGGGGACAGTGCTCTATTGAAATGACTAGGCGTCCGTGCTCGGGAGGCACTATAAAATCAAGGGCTAAGCTTGCTGCAGCTGGAGGGAGAGGGGTGGGAGGCGTTAAGAAGGGAGCTGCCGACTGGCTGGGCAGACGTTTAGTGGCAGCTTGTGCAGAGTAACAGCCCAATTTGCAAGTGCTTTCACTGTGGTAATGGGACTACTGGGGGTGGGGTGGGGGGCTTGCTAAAACAGTGTCCCTGGTGTGGAGTAATGGGAGAAGAAAGAATACAAAGTAGGTTGGGCCTGATCATGGCAAACCCAACAAAATTACCTCATGCCCATTTCCTCTCAATCCCTTCTATAAGAGGCAACCACTTTTCTGATGTCTATCATATAGATTAGTTTTCCCTGCTTTTAAATTTCATATAAATGGAATCATGTTGTATGTACTCTTTCATGTTTGATTTTTTTCACACAACATGGTTTTGAAATTCATATTGTTGCATGTATTTTAATTTTTTTTTTTTTTTTTTTGCTGAGAAAGATTAGCCCTGAACTAACACCTGTGTCAATCTTTGTCTATTTTATATGTGGGTTGCCACCACAGCAGGAATGATGAGCAGTGTAGGTCCTTGCCGGGGATCTGAACCCGTGAACCAGGCTGCCGAACAGGAATGCACAGAACTCAACCTCCACACCATGGGGCCAGCCCCTTAAATTCCATTTTACTGAGTAGTATTCCATTGAATGAATTAACCATGTTTATCTCTTTTCCAGGTTTTGTCTGTTATGAATAAAACTGCTAGAACATTCTGTACGAGTATTTGTATGAATATGTGCTTTCATTTCTCTTGGGTAAATCCCTGGGAGTTGAATTTCTAGGTTATAGGGTAGGTGTGTGATTAACTTCATACTATTCTGCCAGCTTTCCAACATTGTTATCTCACTTTACCTTCCCTCCAGCAATATACAAGAATGCCAGTTGCTCCATAGCCTTGCCAACACAGTATTGTTACTCTTGTCATTTGGGGTATTCTTGTGGTTAGGGAGTGCTGTCACATTGTGGTTTAATCAGCATTTCCCTGAGGGCTGATGATGTTCACTACCTTTTCATGTATATTAACCATTTCTATACTTTGGTGGGATGTTAGTTCAAATATTTTGCCTATTTGAAAAAATGAGTTGCCTTTTTTATTATTGAGCTGTTAGAGTTCTTTACATATTCTGATCTAATACACACACACTATTTCCTCCCAATCTGTGGCTTGCCTTTTCATTTTCTTAGTGGTAAATTGCCTAACAGAAGCCTTTAATTTTATAGATCCAGTTTATCAATTATTTCCTTCTATGGCTAAGTTTCTGTGGTCCTGTTGTAGTGCGATGTAGTGAGGACTGTGTGGTGGAGAAACCTGTTCCCACAGCAGAGTCCACTGCTGTACAGTGAGAAGGTGTTATACAAATGCAGAGCAACTACTGAGAATGAGCTGTTATACCATTAAAGTTCATAAGGAAGGTGACAACGTGAAGAGCATGCGTGCAATTGTTAGCTGATAAAACACAGATGAACCTTTGAGGAGTGCCGCTTGCTCCCCTTCCTGACTTCGGTTTAGACTGTCAGGAAAGGTGTGACTCACTTCCGGGAAGATAAGAGAAACATGGCTTATGGGAGCCCCCAGCAACCCTGGAACTCCTGATTCTTTTCACTCGCTTGTAGGCTTTGCTGTCAACCACGTTTTGCGGGCATCTTTGGAAGTGAGAGAATGCCCTGCATCACTTGGTACAGCCAGCAGGTTTCCAGATTGATCTAGCAGAGGAGCCCGCAGCTGGGCTCACGATAGGAACCTGCCAGGATGGCCAGGAGGGGACAGCATGCACTCCGTAGTCAGGAACCACGGGATAGATAACCTAAACGTGCCCCTGAAGAGTGGGTGCCTAGGAATGACAGCTTCCTGAGCCCTGGGGCAGAAAAAATACCTCACTGGAACAGGGCAAGACACTGTACTGTAGGCTGACATTTTCCTTTAGTCTTCCAATGGATCAACCAGATCCAGCAAGAAAGAGAAAGGGTAGGGAAAATACATTCACTTGGTTATCAGCGCAGCTTCTCTGTGCCAAAGGCCAGGAGCTACATCCAGGGAATAAGTCATTTGGAATAAAGCATATTTGTGTAGGGCACAGAGAGAGACTCAAAAAGAGGCAGCCTACCCCCTCTCACCTCAAGACAAGCTGGTAAGGACCACGCAGCCCTTTGGACTGCAAGGGATAGACGGCACTTCCAGAAGCATGCAGTTTAGGACTTGAGTCTGG